AAGCACTCTCCTCTTCAAACTCGGTGATCGGGTTTTTGTAAAACGTACTTTTGGGATCACTGACATAAAAAGCGATTTTGAGTGTGCTGTATGCTCGCAAAAAAATCAAGAATCTCTTCATCCGCACTAGTGTTAGAACCACCAGTAATTAGAACTGAACTAGGGCTGCAGCTATCGAATATTTTTGTAATCGAGTACTCTATCGAATCTTTTTTCGATTAATCGAGTACTCTAATAAATTACCCTTTTGTGTTTGTAAACCATTATATCAAATAGCATGTTATAATTATGAAAGACCTCTTAAAATGAGCACGCAATTGCCAGTTATTCTTCAAGTTTTAATCAAAATTAGTTTTCAAAACTTCAGCACTTCAACTTCACTTCACAGTAAACAAATGCCTGTGCAAAAAATAAGTATACAACCTGAGCCGATTTTCCCCTCGTGCGAGAATCTACTAGCCTGCAAGCCAGACAAAAACTAGGAGGATAACTGCTGAAGTAGCGCTGCGAGCGGCTGCGGCCCAAACAGAACAAGAACCGCTCACGGCGCAAACAGCTCGCCGGCTGTTTCCCTAACACGATTGTTTTAATTTCTACACTTTTTGTCTCACACTAACAAGGATTGTCGAAAGCATGTTTGCCGTGGTTTTGTCAAATTATACTAATCACAAAACATTTATTTACTTTCTTTCGTTGTCCTCCACCACTCATAAATACCCGTGTCCTCCTGCAGCGATCCCGAGGGAAAACAAATATCAATAACAACACAATAAAAAGTCTGACATATTGTGTAAAAATGCTATTTTTAGCACATTTTAAGTCCGACGTGTTGCTACCAGATGTATGGTGTGAGCTGAAACTTGAGTGCTACAAATGAAAAAGTCGCACAGTGTCCGCAGAATATATAGAAATACAGGCTAAAATGCATTATCTTGTAGAGGCTCCGAGTCCGCTTGCAGAAGTGACATTTACAGGTGCTGCACCACGGAGGATGTGGTGTTGTAGGCTAAATCCATTTTACAGTATTTACACTGGACTACGTTTTCCACCTTACGACGTGAAAAATGGTCCCACACCTTTGACATTTTCTGTCTTTTTCGCACTCCACCGGGGTTCAAGTTGTCCGCCATGGCTTAAGAGAAAGTTAAGTTACATTCACTACTCGCGTGTGCATTGATTCAGCACAGTGGGCATGTGCGTCACTTATTTCGGTCCGGGTGAAACATGACCCCGGGCGATTGCAAAGCCATGAATTAATTAAATATGAATTAAACGAATCCTCGAGGCAGAGAATTTGACTCGAGGATTTTTTGTACTCGAATTATTCGAGGTACTCGAGGAATCGTTTCAGCCCTAAACTGAACGTAACACGTTCACTCTTGATTGTACAACAAAATCCATTGTTAACTACAAAACAAAACAAAGACATACACAAAAATTATTCACGCAGCATGTCTCCTGGCTGGCTCACCAAATTTAACCCACTGAAACCCAATGAATATTAGGTCTGTCCTCAGAGCCAAAGTGCATGAATAAAACGCAATCAGACTTTACTTTCCAGAATGAACGTATTTACTAACAAAAACAGGATATAATAATAATCATGTAAAGTATTACCTTTATAATTATATTTATTTATATATTATATTTTTATTTTATATTCTTATAATACTGTAACAGGAATTACAAAACACAACACCCCGTATAATAAATGGAAAAAGGTAACACAAAGTAAAACCCGTGATTTCCAGAGTCCACGATTTGTTTTAGAAGAGATCTCGTTTGACAGTCCAACCAGCAGTCTTTATCTCTCTTTTTCCAAAGGTGAGACCGTATAGACTCAAGATGATGTACAATTGTCACATCAGAGGTCCTACCACATCACAGTGGGTATGCGTGGCTCGCTATCCCGGATAGCACCACCGGGAATCAACCAAAAGGGTCAAACAAGCAATAACAAAAACCAGACCACTGAGTAGACGTGTCTAATTACAGCATGAGTGTCTGAATACTGGGTGATGGGTGGTCGGTGCATCAACCCTGTTCAGACTGCTGTACACTTAACATGAGTATGAGTTCGGGCTGGAGTTCAGTTGATACTGATTGACTCTAAATCACCAGCTCCGATATGCCACAGCGGAGTGCAAATGGATCGAAGCACCAGGTAAAGGAGGGTTCTTAAAGGCACACCATTACGGGAGCGGCAGGTGTAAGTCATGAAGTGAAAATGGTGACAGGGCGACTCTCTGGGTTACACATATAAACAAAATATCAATGAAACACTGAGAAGAGAACTAAATGTGGTCAGCCAGGAATTATAAGTGAAATTATAAGTGAAAACATAAATTAAGCTAAGGCAGTAATAACTGGTACAATGAACTACAGAAAAACATTGCTGAAACTAACAGAATGTCAATGCTTTGAGTAGGTAAGAGGGCTAATTAGGAATTACAATGAACTACGAAAAATTATGGTAGCAGGGAATTTGGGGGGCGCTCGGGCTCAAAGGAGGAAAATTTAACGCGTCATGTTTTTTTAACTGATTAATCGTAATTCACGCGTTAAATTCCCACCTCTAGTTTTTACCTTTTGACAGTTTCAGCTCTGGTCAGCCCAAAAGATAAAAACAAAGAGAATAAATGTGCATATAGAACTAAATGTGTATAGATAAGAACTCAAAAACGGAAAAGACAGAATGAACTGAACAATGAAATCTGATGATTACCACCATTCAGTACCAAATAAGTAGCAAATGAGATGAGAAAATTATTTGCTTAACTAGACATATATCAAAAACGAAAACAAGCACAATAGTATTTAAATATTTAAAATGCACTCAGCCAGTAAAATTATATCCAAGGATACATGTCCAACTACCTCATAAGAGATGCAAGCTGGACCTAAGGTGGGAAATGGTTCAGGTAAACATGTTGATATAAAAACAGGGAAAAAAATAAATGAAGGAACAATATCAGCTTTCCTGCTTTGTTTTAAAGGTCAGAATACCTCAGGGTATCGATGCAGCTTAGATAACCAAATTACACCATGAAAGGTTTTCATGAGGTGACGCCATTGTTAGTTTTAGCTCTTGTTAAGCCGACTTGGTCACCAAGAATAAAAAAAAACCAGCCAAACTCTTCCAATTTGTTTTCATTGTTGGGGTTTTATTCAGACTGGTCATTATTTAAACAATAGCAGTTTCAGTAAGTACCTTTAATGTTATTTGACGCTCAAAAATGTGGCTACCGTAAATCCTCTAATATTAGCCTGTGTTCAATTAATGGCCGGGTATCATATTTTGGCCGGTGTCGGAGTTGGCGGAGGTGAGTAATGGCCGGTATTTTATTGTGGCCGGGTGAAATGTGGTAACAAGCAAGTACGGGGGGCGGTTGTGTCATCGTCTCACTTTTGATTTGCCAGTGATAGACCGCGAGGGTATCTATAACCGTGCGGAGACGAAGAGGAGGTGAAAATTTGATATCAAGTTCAAAGATGTGTGTGTGTGTGTGTGTGTGTGTGTGTGTGTGTGCGCGTGTGTGTGTGCGAGTGTGTGGGTGAGTGTACGTTCACCTTTGAAATAGGTTTTCGGGAGGGTAAGTGTAATTGTCAGTTGTTTTATACTTGGGGAGGGGGGCTGGGACGGGAATATGGGATCTATGGGGCCATTTTAATCTGTGAAGCACTTTGAGTTGCATTTCTTTGTATGAAAAGTGCTGTATAAATAAAGTTGATTTGATTTGAGCTGTTGTTACGCACATGTGTGAGCCAGGCAATGCGAGCTTATTGGGGTGAGAAAGATTCCCGCTGCTCATAACACTCCAGAGTGACACCTCGAAAGAACCAGCGGGACCGGGTGCAAAAAGCAGAATGCAGGTTTTAACTGCTTTGTTTATGAGCTTCCAGCTTCTCCATGTGTTTATGCTGGTCCGTGCATTTGGATATTTATGCTGCATCAACAAAAGGGCTCAAAAACAACAGTGAAGCGGTGGTCACCAAGTCACGCTGTGCAGGATTTACATGTTTACCTGCTCCAGCACACCTGAGTCAGAGAATTAAACCACCTTTGTACCATGAGCTCTGCAGAAGCTTGTGGAGCACGGAACAGCTAAGATGAGAAGAACGGTGGCCCTGAAGGACGGGATAGGTGAGCCCAGGTTTCATATTTTACATTTAAATTCAATTTGCACGGAACTTGTGAAAATGTCTACAAAACATCACTTTCCGAGCATACAGGAATGTTCACATTCAATATTTAAAACACAAGAGACAAAACGACACACAGCATATAGTTTAAAGGGCCTCAGGTCACTTTTAATGCCTCCAAACTGACCTTTGACTCCTGGTGTGTTTTTCAGCCGAGGGATTTGATGCACAATTAGTTGTGTTGTGAATTCCTTCTGTTCCCTCCCCTCTGCCCTCTGACTCCTCTGAAATTGTTTACTTTAATGTTTCTACCCTAACGGGTCAAATTCATCACATCTTCATATCTTATGATCACCAGCATCCTAATTGGGCTTCCTCATTCCCTCAGTCTCCAATCCTGTCGACAAGCTCTCTTGCAGCACGATGAACCCCGATTAGTCATAAATATAGTCCGTATATTTAGCCTTCCTGTCTGTCAAGTGCACATACTTCAAATGCCAGCTGACATTTTCTACTTTGCATCACAACTTGTCCCTTGGAACAGAAATAGCCCTCCTTGTGTGCTCCCAAATGCAGCGTCCACAGCTCTTCCTGCACAACCATGGCCCCCACGCAGCTTGAGATAATCAAACTGGCCTGTAAAGCTTCAAGCATGTAAGAATTCTTCACATTCTGTAACGCTGCAGTCAGCTCAGCGTTAACACGCCAGTACCAGCCAAACCCGACTCCTACAACAACAACTATTTTCTGACCTGGCATAAGTTTAACTGACCTTCAGCCCAGAAAGGTAAAGCAGAGATACGCAAAGCTTTTGATAACTTTAATTATAAAACTATCACAATAATGCAGCTACTTACAAGCGAGCATAAAAGTCACAAAACTCTTTGTAGACTTTGACATCGCTCTTCCGTCTCTGGGACTTGGACACGGGGACCTCAGCCTCTCCTCCATCACCAGCCTGGACCCTCTGATGGTAGCCGTTCATCTCCCTGTGATGAAAGTGGTTCAGGGCTTCTCCATCCTCAGGGATTGATGCAGGTATGGTACAACCATTCATCTCCGTGCTCGCCTTAACCAGGCAGTGCTAACCCTAAGTTTATCTAAAACCTGATTCTGAAGTACCGACACAAGAGATGGGCTTAAGAGTTCTGTAAGGAGACGGCAGCGAGCAGGCAGAACCAGGGAGACTGAAACACTGATCAGGCTGTGCCCGGAGTTCTGACCCTCCCTCTTTTCCTCTCTCTCGCACACCCACACCCACACACACACACATGCCTGTCTTTCTATCATAGACCCTCCATTGACCTCCATTCATTTTTCTGATTCCACCATGCCTAACCCATACCGTAACCCTAACCATAACCAACGCTGATCTATTCCTAACCTTAACCTTAACTAAAACTTAATTCACACCGTACCTCTAACTGGTATAGAAAGCTTCTGGTATGCTTCTAAAAAAGTGAGGACCAAAAAAATGTCCTCACATTGTAGGGAAAATGGTCAAAGTATGTATGTACAGCATGTACAAGAAC